TGAGGCAAAGCACAAAAATGAACTAGGTAGAGGCAAATCATCTAACAGTTTCATAAATAAAAGTAAATAGTAGGATGTTTTGGAAACCTCCTCACAGTTCAAATCTAAAAGGCTGACATTTAGTGCATGCATATGCAGTTATGCACCACATGATGTTCAGCAATGAGAAGCCAACACTCAAGTATCTTCACTCCATTTTCCAGGGATGTAGAATCTGTTTTGGGACAACTCTCTCTCGGTACTCTCCTTCCCAAATTATTTCCCTTCTCCTTCTCTGTATGATCAGATTTGGTAGGAATTCTACTACCATCGACTGGAAAGACAACAGAGAGACTAGCTCTAGCTCTCCATCCCTCTCTCTGTCTATATATATACATGTGTCTTGGGAGAAAATTAATGAAATATTTCTACGCTCTTTGTAATAGTCTATCTTTTATTGACAGTAAATTAAAAAGGCAGTATCTTAACAATATGAGATTTTCTCCCTCTGACAGCACTTTCAAGAGTGGTGACATTGCCCAAGAAGATGAAAAGTACTCGCCTTTCTGCACATCTTTCTCCTTAGCTTCTGAGGGAAACAGTTCCTTTCCCCGAGGGGGAGACACAGCTTTTGTTGGCTGGTGAGGGCGCTGAATCCTGTAATAGTCTCCTAAACAGAGCCCAAGAGGAGAAAACAAACAAACAAACAAACAAAAAAACCATACAACAAAACTGACTATGTTGGCTGCACTGCTGTTTAGGAAAGGGTGACTCATTTTGTATTTACCAGATTTATAGCATATTTCCTTTATTTTTCTTTCCTCTTCTATATCCTCAGTGGTCTTAGGCCTCCAGTCAGGAATAGCTGCAGGAAATTGTTTTGAAAGATTACTAGAGAGCTATAGAAGGATCTTCCACAATTCATAAAGCAATCCCAGAATGAGATTTAGTTTGGTCACGGCTAGGGGTTATTTCTGACTGTAAACTCTGCTTCTGGACAGAAAAGGAAGCTGAGATTTAGTTTGGTCACGGCTAGGGGTTATTTCTGACTGTAACCTCTGCTTCTGGACTGAAAAGGATGCCTTAAGAGTGGGCATTCCCAAATGCAATGAGCTTGCAGTTACAACACAGGTTAGGAAGCTAATGTTTGTGGGTTTGAAATGACTCAAAAGCTTCTTCAGTACTCATTTTCAAAACCATCCTCCATTGACACCCAAAATGAAAATCTCCTCTCTGAATTTTTAGAAATTCTGGAGAGTATTTGATGGCTATCTCAACCATGGATCACCACATCATCTGAACTGTGGATCACCACATTTTAAACTCTCCTTAATAAAAAATATGTATGTGTATTCCACAATTTCAGAAATACAGAGCTGTGCATTCACAGGAGCTCCAAAACATTGCCTGATTCACACCTGGCGACTACCTGGCGAGTACTTCTGGGGTTAGCTAGAAACTCCTTTCTGAAAAATTAATGCTCATTACACTAAACCAGTTGTGAAGTACATTGCAAAAGCCAACAAGACCCTTCCTACTTCCTTGTAAATAAAGAAAAAAACTCTTTACACTTCTCTTCCTCTTCATCGTCTTCTTCAGCCTCACTTTCGTCTTTCAGGTTTATAATCACTGGAGGGTGAACTGGCAGTGAAAACTTCTCTTGCTTTCTAAGAAATATTTGATTATGGGCTGGACGTAGACTCCCTTCTTGGACAACCTGTTGCAACGGGGTATCTGCCGAAAAGAACGTGGTATTTGTTTGGTTAGGAGGAACTAGATGATCGAATGCAGATTTGGACCAGCAGGTGCAGCTGTGAAATCATTAAATAGACAGATTGTGCCTGTTAGGAAAAATCTTCTGTGGAGGCTGGCAAAAGAGCATCTTCCAGCTACTGAAGGCATGAGAAACCAGAAGTTTACAACAGAGGGAAATACCTTTGGAATACCTGGGCTGCAGTGAGTCAGTGAGTTTAGGACCCCATCTGTGAAAAGACTGTAAACACCCTAAACAATTGGCAGGCCCATAGCACTCCCCATGGCATCCAGTCTGAGGACTGTAGCAGTGCTGAGCACAGGATTGCCCATTTTCAGCTTGTAGACATTTTTTTTCTCTCCAAATTTTCTGAGTCACAACTCTTTACCAAGTATAAAAAGTGGATTTTGAGAAAGAAGATGAAGTTTGTGGAAATAATCTACAGTTCATGAGAAGCAAAACCAGAGAAGCTTTTATTTTCCACAGAAATTTATATCTACCCATAACGTCTGCAGCAAAACTAGTTCAGTATCGTCAGCATAGCATGTTCTGAGAGCCAGGAAATTAAAAATAATGAAAATTGCAGAGGCTAGTTGTATGGTTCCAGCTGACCAGCTTGCAACTGGAGATGAAAAGATTTCTAAGTCTCAAGCTGAAAAAACGCAGTTTTGATGTGTGCAATGTCAGTGTGGAGCACATGGACTTTGAACTGATGCATTTTGCAGTAAAAAGAAGAGGGTTGGGTGCATTTTCTCATTCTGATTCTTGTTCTTATATGGAACACCTTTATCCATCTGCACACCCAGCACTGTAACCTGAGGTTATCTCTACAAAGGGTGTCCCAGCCATGGAACAGGTGGTGCTCTAGCAGCAGACATTGCTGATCGTGGCCCTACCGACCTTTTCCCCCCACCACATACTCTACTTTTCATTTCCCCTCAGTGATTCCCTGCCTACTGACCATTTTCACCACAAGATTTAATCTAGCAAATACCCAAGTCAAGCAACACGGACCTCGGCAACCTAAATGGCCATTTGTGACTTCATCTTGCCTGTGACTCATAGTCAGGAAGATTTGGGATGTGACAGCTCCAAAAATGCACGTGGCCAGCGTATTCCAAGGCCAATACAGTTCCTCTCTTGGCCTCCAACTTGCCGGGATATTGGCCCTGGTGCACTTCTTGACCTTAATCTATCTGTCACCTAAGCACTGGAAGGACTTTTTGGGACTTTGCTTACTCTAATGAACAAATTGTTGAGAAAATGTCTCTACTCACTGCTACTAGGTGGCAAAAAAAGTCCGTTTATGTAGCGCGGTTTGCTGTGATGGAAGGCACACCTGATCCTCAGACAGCCTGCGGGTTGTCTTTCCCAGTAGCAGGGGATGCTGCTGTCCTTTTGCTGCAGGAGAAAACAGTTCTCAGATACTGTAAATATAACAGTAACAATGGACTAAATTACTATGTTACTAAATTACTAAGTTACTATGAAGAGTGTGGCTGTGAAC